CAGCAGGATCTAGCTGAGTCTGTACTTCACATCAAGAAGTCATTCAAGGGGATGGAAGGTGGAGCTAGTTGGCACCCAGCATTCCCTCTTCTCCTCCCTTGGTGAACAGGGCCGAAAAGGACGTTGAACAACCCTGCAGCAAAAAAGCCAGTGTCAGTCAGCCCTCTCCTAGCACCATCCTTAGTGAAAACAGCTCAGTGGAGAATTGATCTTACACTCCTATTGGAAGCAAAGAAGGCTGTGACAGTTAATGCCTCACTTTCACCAAGAAAATGTCAGCAGGGCCAACAGAGGAGCTGAACTTCCATTCCATACATCTGCTATGATGCAGTGTGAACCAACCCTGCATTTTTGCCAGGATGAGGTCCACAGGACCCAGGGTGAATCTGACTCCTTCCCAATGCATATACACATACCCAGTGCTCATGCTAAACCTCAACAGGGGAACTGCCTGTTAAAAAATAAGATCAAATAGAATCCATCATCTCATAATAATCAAAGTGTACAGAATATAATCAAACTTGAACACAAATGTTCAAAATCAGTTTGTTTGTAATAATCAAAATGAGGAAAAATTCAAATGTTCTTCAACAGGTGATTGATTAAACAACATGTAGTGGAGCGTTCATATAATGAAATACTACTCAGTGAAAACAAAGAATGAACTATTGATGTGTGTAACAACTGGATGGATCTTAAAGAAATTATCCTGTCAAAAACTCAAATGGTAAGTTCATTTATGTAACATCCTACATAATAAAGAAGTAATATGCAAATTGACCATCACGCCCTCGCACAAGAGGGCCACCTCCATGTGGTCACAAGATGGGCACCTTATGTGGTCACAAGATGGCCACCCCTATGTGGTCACAAGATGGCCACACCCATGTCATCATAAGATGGCCACCACAAGATGGCCAGCAAGGGAGGGCAGTTGGGGGTGAACAGGCCTGCAGGGGAGGGTAGTTGGGAAGGACCAGGCCTGCAGGGGAGGCCAGTAGGTGGCACCAGGCTGGCAGCGTTGGGAGACAGCATTTCCAGATTGTGAGAGGGATGTCCGACTGCTGGCTTAGGCCCGATCCCACAGAGGTCCCAGATTGGAGAGGGTGCAAGCTGGGCTGAGGGACACCCCCCAGTGCATGAGTTTCATGCACCGGGCCTCTAGTTTTAAAAATAACAATTATAAAGATGGAATTTAGTGATTGCCAGAGGTTAGGAGGGGGAAAAGGGAAGTTAAGGACCTGGATGGAAAAGGTGAAGTGGTTAAAAAGTGCAAATTATTAGTTAGAGAATAGTCACAGAGGTGTAAATTATAGCATAGGGAATATCTATAATAATAAAGGTGTAATATGCTAATTAGACTGGATGTTCCAGATGTCCTGTGAAGGAAGCCTGGTCCCGGGTGCCAGAGGGAAGCCGGTGCCTGCAGTTGGGGAAAGGAAGGCTTACTCTTGCAGGAATTTCATGCATTGGACCTCTAGTAGTCAATAATATCATAATAATTATCTCTGCGGCCAGGTGGGTACTTGAAATATTGGGGAACCACTCTGTAAAGTACATGATTGTCTACTATGCTATACATCTGAAACTATACAGAATAATATTGAATGTAAACTGTAGTTCAAAATGTTTTTTAAAAGTATATTCTACTAGAGGTCCAGTGCATGAAATTTGTGCACTCAGGGGAGTCCCTCAGCCTGGCCTGCACCCT